GGTGCCCCTGGTCTGCTGGAGACGGTCTCCAGCAGACCAGGGGCACCGGGAGCAGCTTTTCTCGCCCTGGAGGTCGAGGTGGCGGATCGCTGCCTGTGAGCTCCGGGGCGAGAGAGCCCCGTTCATAAGTGTGGATCCGACATAAGTCGGATCCGCGTAAGTCGGGGACTTCCTGTATAGAGAATAGAAAGCATGGCTGGAAATCATGAGTTCTGACCCCTGCTCTGCCAGCAAATGTGTTGTGTAAACTTGGGCAAGTCACTTAAACTATCTTTTTAAAATCTGAGTGTGATGGAGTCATTTCTGAGTTACCTCTGAGCCTGCTTAAACTCTTTGATTCCCTGAGCCAGAACTTTTGATGAGTCATCAGAAGCAACTACCTGTTAGGCTGCATGCCATGTACCCGTTCTACTCATTTTTCCAGCACGCCTGCTAAAGGAAGCAGTCTTTCTAGTCTGCTCAGCTTCAGTAACTGGTTCTAGTTAAAAAAACAACAACAAATGATCTGGTAGCACTTTATAGATTAACAAAACATGTAGATGGTATCGTGAGCATTGGTGGGCACAGCCCACTTCTACAGATGACCGGAGTTCTGACAGTTTGCCTTTGCTCCTACTCCAGCCATCCTTTGCTTCCTTTCCTGCTCCATCCTGTGCCTGTTTCTACTCTATGGTTGTCTACCATTGGTGGTTACATGTCACATTTAAGTACCTAAATAGAAGGGATAGCGCAGGTTGGCTTTAGTGGCATTTGTTCATGCTCAGTTCTTCTGAAAATCAAGCCAATTTTTGCTTCTGTTACATACATTTGGGAGCCATATTTTAATCACTCACTTGAAAATGTTGACCTTTACCTTCCCTGTCTTAATCTGAGAACTGGGGATAATGCCTACCTCAGAGGTGATTATGATTAATCAATGTTTTTTACAGTGCTTAAAAAAACCCTAGAAGTTGCTACATACGTGCAGTATTATTGCTATTCTTTAGTTCATAATGTGTGTGGGAATGTGTATGCAAAGTGCTAAACTAGAAAACCATTTCTCCTTTTATGCTAAAAGAACTGGATTTGAATCTGTTTCAGTCTGTGGTGTTACTAATTTGGCTTCTGCTCTTCTGAGGCTATGTCTACACTACCCCTCTCTTGCGGAAACATATGCAAATGAGGCTGTGTGAAATATCGCTGTGCCTCATTTGCCTAATTAAGGAGGAAAAATGTGGAAGAATGATTCTTGTGCAAGGAGGGTTTTTTGCACAAAAATGGAGCCTAATTAATTATGCAAATGAGGCATGGCGATATTCCACACTTAGCCTCATTTGCATATGTTTCCGCAAGAGAGGGGCAGTGTATACATAGCCTGAGAGAGAAGAGGCCAAATTTTCAGTTTGTTTCTCTGAAGTAACTTCATTGACTTAAACAGAGTTATTGTCACCAGAGGAAGAGTTGAGCCCTCTTTTGCTTAAATATCTTCTGCTGCTAGTCCCACTACAGTTTAGGACACATCTAGCTTTTTGTGTTAAGAAAAAGAGAAACTTTTTTCCTTTCAATATAAACAGTGGCTAAGAGAAAAAACACCCCAACTATTGTAATTCCGGTGTTAAATATAAACTACTAACATATAAAAGGGAAGGTTTTAAAAAGTTGACAAGATAAGGAAACGTTCTGTGCTTGTTTCATTTAAATTAAGATAGTTAAAAGCAGCATTTTTTTCTGCACAGTAAAGTTTCAAGGCTGTATTAAGTCAACTTTTAGTTATAAATTTTGAAAAAACAACCATACTACTTTTTCAGGGATGCAGATACGTTAGGAGGAATAGAGTGAGTTTATAGCTCTAAGATTATATGCTATTGAATTTTGACAAGAGATCAAAATGGATGATTTGTTTGATGACAGAGAGGAAAATCTAACATTAGGGAAGAGATTTAGGAACACTGAGGTTGGGTTTTTTTCCCCCGGAAGATATGGGAACATTGCCATTGTACACAGTCAGAGAAGTGCCACCATATATTTATGGTGATTGAGAGAATAGTGTCAGCTTGAATTCAGGGGAAACAGAAGGAATGCTTTTCCCTTTGATAAATAGACACTAGAAAAGCGGGAAAATTCCCCTTTAAAGTGTTTACTAGTAGCATTCTGCAATCTGGCCATGCAGGTGAAGAGAATGGAATGAGGCCTTTCTTGAAATATGTATTTAAGAAGGGAGAGGAACGTATCATAACTTCTGTAATTGTAACTTCTGTAAACGAAACGTGCAGTGCAAGGCAGAGTATAAAAAACCTCCACTTTGCTTGAACAAAAGGGAGAAACGTAATACTTCTGACTTTTGTATTGTGTAATAACATAGGTTGTATTGTGTATTTAGACTGTGACATGTAGTATGGATAAACAAAAAGTACAAGTGAGAAGACGTCATGCATAGGGAAGGGCAAATTATTTCAGTGCAACAAAACCCAACCAGCACTATCTCCCAAAACAATGATTGTAGCAAATTAAAAACTGTACTATTGTTTTAAGTGGCTGATCCTTTCTTAGTTGTTTTAATGTACTGTTTCTGTTCCTTTCCTGGTGTTGGGGCCAGGAATAAAAAACAAATGCCAGGAGAGACATTCTAATGGTATTTTTGACTCAGCCCAGACTACTGAGGACTAGAAATCAGACTGAGAGTTTTTGCAAGATTATACAGTCTGATTTTTAGGCCAAAGTTTTGGATAAGATCTGAACTTCTTCAGACTTCTTCTAAACTAAACCAGTGGGCTACCAAGTAATCAGGCATTTATCTATATATTGGCTACTTCAGTAAGCCATTGGGCCAATTTCCCCCTCTCCCCTTCTAATGCACTGTGTAATGCCAGCTGACCCTGGTCTTCTGCAGGCAGAATCAAGCCTGGGATCCTCTGGAACTTAGTGCATGAGCTAAAAGCCATCTGGTGCTCAGCTAAGGCTATAGAACAGACTCCCTTTACATGGAAGAGTATACCAGTAGGTGTGTGAGTTATAACTTCAGTGCACATCTGGGTTAAGATGATAGAGAGGTAACCAATGAAAAACCCTGCTGATTTCTGCTTCCTGCTGTATTGGCCCACAGTCTCTTCACTACCCCAGACTCCTGCCAGCCAGTGATTAAAAGCACCAGTTTGAATTCCCTAACTGGTTCCTGTTCCACCTACAAAACACGCAACTCCTCCCTGCTTAGGGTTATGAGAAAGGAAGTCCAGCAGCCTAATCCTCACTGCCAAGATAAACCTAGCCATATTTCATAATTTCTATTACAATCTCAGGCCTCATCAGACACCCTCAAAACACCTGACCTTTTCAGAAGCAAGTGTGGGATGAGGATAGATTATTTGAGCAGACGAATGGGAAGGAAAGAGAAGAAACAAAATAGATTTTGGGCAGTAACGATATCCTCGTGGGCTTTTTATGGTATGAACTCCAGTTCGCATGATGTGCTGCATAGGTATCAGAATCTCATTTAAGAATTTCAAAGGTAACTTGTGAATATGCATGTGAGTACACATGTATGAGGTCTGAGAGAGTAGCAGGGCTGTCCGTGGTGGGGAGTGAGGTAATGCAGAAGATTAGTGATGAGTGAAGACAAAGAAATGAATGATAAGGAAGATGGGAAAAATCAGTGGTGAGAAAAGAATGGAAAGATTATGGAATAGCAGGTACAGCTGGGAAGAGGAGAGAAGAAACACAGGAATAGAAAGGTTGGAGACTATTAATCGTAAGCAGAGAAACACCAGCATATAGTAAAAGGAGGGAGGAAATGTAATGAAAATAAGGAAAAGGGAAATAGAAAAAGAAAAATGAGACACAAATTTAGAATTCCAATCCAGCAAAAACTTAAGCAGTATCTGTCATTTGGGCAACAAATATGCTTAAACGTGGTTTGCTGGATTGCTCCCTGTTTACTCTACAGGTTGAAGTTAAAATGAGAGCGAAATTAAAACTCTGTAGATTCTTTAAATTTTAAAATGATTCAGAATTCTTTGGTAGCAGCATTCTTTTGATTTATAACCCAAACTATGCATAGTTTGGTATGGAAGCATCAGTAGGAAATCCCTAGTTAAATTTGCATTAAGATTTGTCTCTCTACTTCCTATTTTAAGAACGGAACTAAGTCTTGAAATTTACCACAATAGTGCATCAGAGGAAAATTAATGTTCCATGTAACTACCTTCTTTAAGAAAAGCAATTACTAGCTAGCTTGAGCAGGAGAGAGACTTCTAAATGATCCCTTACTGAATTTGATCCTGATGTGTCTCATATTTCTCTGGCTCTCTGTAACCACACAAACACAATCATCCCAAATTCCACCTTCCTTTCAGCACACCCACACTCTGTCTCATAGTATAACGTGAGAAGTCACTTTTATGCATGATATTTAAACACAAATGGTTGAATTGGCACCTCACAATCCGTCCCCAGTAGGAGGAAACATGTAGTTACACCATTCCAACAGCAGAATAAAGGCCACGCTGTGACTCTGAAGGTCACAATTCAGTCCTTGCTTCTGCCACTTTTCCGTAAGGAAAGTAAGTGCAGCAGCAGCAGCAGCATTTTTCCTGCTTTACCAGAAACCAAACCTCTGTCCGCTGCATGAGGAGCATCTCTTGGCAGTGTCTCTTCTCCATGCTGCTGCCCTTGAAATGCTTATTCTACTTTGCTGACTTGCACAGGAGCATTAATGGAGTCAGGTGCCCCAAAGAACTGGTTCCCTAATTTTCCACTTTTAATTTTGCTTTGCATGGAAATACTGCCAGAGTTGCCTGGATCCCCCAACTCCTCATGTTTTATGCTCTCACCTGGCCTGACTCCCTAACTTATCAGCTGTCCTCCTTCTCAAATCTCTCTCCCCTACTGACCATGGAAAGGCAGGAAGAAAAGTTGCTTATCAGGGAGCCCTGGTCCCTAATCCATAAGCCTTCTTCCTCCATTGTTCCACTAAGATGGAGTGTACATCAGTGCAAGGTCAGAATCTCAAGCCTGACTTTGCAGTAAATTCCATCCTGTGTTTGCTTTTTCCCAACCTTAAGTATGACCTGAGATTTTTTTCATATATGAACTTCACCACTGAAAGGCTGTGTCTAGTCTGGCATGATTTTGCGGAAATACTTTTAACGGAAAAGTTTTTCCGTTAAAATTATTTCCACAAAAGCGCATCTAGATTGGCACAGATGCTTTTGCGCAAAAAGTGCTTTTGAGCAAAAGCATCCATGGTCAGTCTAAATGCGATTTTGCGCAAGAAAGCCCCGATCGCCATTTTAGCCATCGGGGCTTTTTTGTGCAAAACAGTTCTTCCCTGTCTACACTGGCCCTCTTGTGCAAGTATTCTTGCGCAAGAGCAAGTATTCTTGCGCAAGAGGGCTTTTTCCTGAGCGGGAGCGTGAAAGTATTTGCGCAAGAAGCACTGATTTTGTACATTACAAAGTCAGTGTTCTTGCGCAAATTCAAGCGGCCAGTGTAGACAGCTAGCAAGCTTTTGCGCAAAATCTTGCCAGTCTAGATGCCCCCGTTGTGTTTGGCTACAATGGGTGCTGTTTAGGGATGTTAGATGGCAGGTAATTTAATAGTCATGTAACTGCACAAAATACTGTCGGTTTCATGACTATTTGATAGTCCCCGGGGGTGGAGCTAGCGCACTCCCAACCCCACTCCCAGGGAGCGCCCTGCCACTCCCCAGCACTGTGTGGGCTGGCAGGCGGGAGCTGGTTCATGAGGGGAGCCAGTTTAAAAACCAGCTCCCTGCTCAGACTGTCTGCTTGCTTCCCCGTGCTGCTGCCTCTGATAGGCAGCAGCACAGGGTGGCAACAGCCCTTGTCCACAGGAGTCTGAGTTCTGTGTGGACAGAGGCTGCCGTGGGGCAGGGAGGGGGAGGCTGCTGCGAAGCACCCTCTGTCCATGGCAGCCTGTGCTGGCTGTGGGCGAGGCTGTTCTGGCAGGAGCCCCTGTCTGCAGGGACCCCCCAGCTTCCCACAGACAGAAGTTACAGGAGGCCTCGGTGGGAGGCGTAGCAATCTTCTTGAAACACTTTTTTGAAGCAATTTTTATAATCTAAATATCTCAGAAGCCCATTTGACAATATTTTCTATAATGTTTTCCATAAAAAAATTGAAAATCCCTAAAATAAAAAATCTCATTTGAACATTTCAAAATGAAAACGATTTCATAACGTGTGTGTGCTTGTAAAATAGTTATTTGTTATTCAACCAGCTCTTATTATGGTGTTTTAGTGGTAAAGTATATTGGAGGTTGGCGCGTATGTAAATATTTTCTTAAGTAGTGATTCTGGTTTTAAAAATATTTCATTAGCAGATAATGCATTTGCACAACACTAACTCTCAACAGATTTTTGTATGGGTTTTGTGTATGTGTATTGTTAATGGTACATTATGCTCATCTGTCTTACCTCTGTGACCTGCTCTCTTTCTGAGTTTTGCTAGCCCTCCCAGCTATGCTCAAAAGCTCTTCCAAAATTGATCTGCCAAGTCTACAACTCAGGCTGGCTGACAAATGAGAATTCTATTGGCCTCATTCCACACTGGAACAGAAGCCAAACCTTTGAGAACATTTTTTCAAAACAAGAACAAGCCGACTGTTTGGAGGCACTCAGGAGTATGGGGGAGACCCAGGTTTAAGTCCCTGCTCTGAATCAGGGAGATTGATTCTATGCCTTTCTGGCTCTTCTGTTTGGAGCTGTTCCATTGGAGATAAATAAAATAACCACTGGACCAGAGAGAGAGAGATTGATTTGGTAGCTGGTTCTCCATGGTGCCGTCTGCTCCCTCCCCTGCCCTGCTGCCTCTATCCGAGGCAGCAGCGGAGGGGAGTGGGAAGGGGGAGGCTGCCATAAAACAGCCTCTGCCTACAGCGGGCCCTGGCTCACCCTGGACAGAGGCTGCTCTGCATCCTGTAGAGCAGCCTCTGTCTGTGGCGAGCCTGGGCCCACCGCAGGCAGAGGCTGTTTTGTGGCAGCAGTCCCTATCTGCGGGGTGGGGTTGGGTAGTGGGCCGAGTTCCCTGCAGAGAGGGGTTGCTGCTGGAGGAGCCTCTGTCTGCAGTGAGCCTGAGTCCTCTACAGGCAGAGCAGTGCTGTCTGTGGTGAGCTCGGACCCCTCTGGACAGGGGCTGCTAACACAAAACAGCCTCTGCTCGTGGCAGACCCAGGCTCGCCGTGGACAGAGGGTGTTCCAGCCGCCGGCCCTGTCCCCGGA